GTGCATGATATTGTTAATTACAAGTGCTATATTGTATGGCAAATCTTTAGAACTTATTCTTTTTGCATACAGAATGGATAAAGAAAATATGGTATACACCTACAATGGAATATACCTGTATATATAAGCCTTAAATATCCTATATGACTACAGCCTTATTAAACATGGAAAATCCTATCTGCAACAACATGGGTGGACCCAGAGGGCACCATGCCAAGCAAAACCAGCCAGTCACTGAAGAAAAACACTGTATGTTTCCACCTGTATGAGAAATTCCACATATATACAGATCAAATGGCCACCAGGGATGAGGAGGAAGGAGAAATGGGGAATCATTTTTCAATGGACATAAAGTTTTCATTATAGAATTAAAAAATTTTTTTTCATAGTGCTGGAAATCAAGCCCAGGGCTTTGTACATGCTAGTCAAGCATTCTACCACTGAGCTACATCCCAGCCTCTGAAAAAAATTTTTTAATTATGGTAAAATACACAAAAAATTTACCATCTTCACCCAACCCCACCTTTTCAGACAAGGTCTCACTGTGTAGCCCAGGCTGGCCTTGAACTCATTCTCCTGCCTCAGCCTCCTGAATGCTGAGATTACAGATGTGTACCACCAGGCCCACTCATCCCTTTCTCTCTCTCTCTCTCCTCTCCCTCTCTCTTTCTCTCTCTCTCTCTCTCTCTCTCTCTCTCTCTCTCTCTCTCTCTCTATATTTAACATGCTTAAAAATTATTGAAGGGACTTGGGATGTAGTTCAATGATAAAATGCTTGCCTAGCAGGTATGAGACCCTAGGTTCAATTCAAGCATTTCCAAAAAAAAAAAATCAATTAAAAATTATTGACCTCAAAAAACTTATTTATGTGATTATAGCTATAGATGTTTTCCATATTAAAAAAAAAAAAAAAAAGACAATCAAGGTATTAAATAAGAATGCCAACTAAAAATTGAGGTGATGACTTATATCCTTAAAACTCTTAAAAATATACTCTCATGTACTATAAGTCCCCAACTTACGAACATTCGAGTTTCAAACTTTCACAGGTGTACTGTATGACTCACTTTTTCTGATACCAACACATCTGACTTACGAATGTTCTCCTAGAACAGAACTGATTCGTAAGTCAGGGCCTTACTGTATATCCTAAAATTATCAAGTTGAAAGCTGATAAAGAAAAGTTCAACCAGATTCGATAAGTGTTTTCCCTCATTCTTTGTTGCATTAAAAAAATCATTACTCAGATAAAAAATGCGTTTATTTTTAGGCCAGGAATGGTGGTGCACACCTGTAATCCCAGCACTCAGGAGGCTGAGGTAGGAGGATTGTCGGGAGTTCAAGGCCACCTTGGTCTACATAGTGAGACCCTGTCTCAAAAAATTAAGAAAAAATTTTTTAAAAGTCTGAGTCAGGAGGATCACTGCAAGCTCAAAGCCAGCCTGTATTATATAGCGTGACCCTGTCTCAAAAAAATGGTATTTACAGTTCATAGATCATACTCTTGGTTGTACTGGAATACATCTAACGAAGATGAGAAAGAAACAATATTTCATATAAAAACTAACCAAGAAACTCTACTATTATTACTTGGGCAAACTGAGCACTTACCATTTGATTCCTCACTTTAAACTGAACAGTGAAAAACAGAAAGCACATAAGAGGGCCTAATTTCAAAACTTTAAAACAGACGAAGATTAAAACTTTTTCTCAAAAGTGCCGTCAAAGTAAAGGCAGAGTAAATGAATCAATTGCCTTAATGTATCTCTATTAACACAACATTTTCCTATAACACAAAATAGCAGAAGTATCTAGTTTTTCTTAGTAGTTCTTTTAGTGCTTGATCAGCTTATATTAATAAGCATTACTAGACGAGGAATTAAATAAAACTGACACCAAACTGATGAAAGCCTTGTTTCTTCACATAATTTCTAATCTCCATTTAAAAACTAAACTACAATCAAAACAAACTGTATTTCCCCCGAGTATTTAATTTCATTGTTACAGGAATTATCACAGCTCATTTACATACCACTTGAGGCACAGCCACTCTTCAGAAAATTCACCACTGCAATTTCAGGCCTAGCTAACATAAATGTTAATACACAAACAGAAGAATCAAAGTTATTCCGCCCCAGAGTTCCAAAGACTTTTTCTCTAATGGGCTACATAGCAAAGTCACTTTGTGTCAAAAACTGTCATCTCCTCCTTTTTTGAGGGGTCAGAGACACACAGCACACTGCCGAGCTGGCCTGGGGCTCCTGGCTCAACCCTGTCTCAGCTTCCCGAGCAGCTTGGGTCGTGGGCCCATGCTCACTGTCCTAGACGGCCACCTCTTTAGCAGGAGCTCCTGAGAAAAACGGTGACATCCCTATCTGTGGGGTACTGTGAAAATGGGCCATGATCCAAGGCTACAGATCGCTGGCTTCTGCTCTAGGCAAATTAATTTCATTTATGCCTCAAGTATGAAAAACACATTTCTGCAACTTCTTGAAACTAAGGTATGAATATGTGAATGTACTATCACATAATTCTTTACTAAGAGCATAATCTTGTACAACAAGAGGCTATTTTAGAAATGCCCCAAAACCAACCATGAGTATAAATATCTAATTCATCTAGTCTCAACATTCTTTAGATATCTATAAAATATTACTATCAAAATTAATTTTAAATACAAAATGTTTTCAAATTAAGAATTTGCATGTATAATAGATACTGGGGAAATGGGAAGAAAATGTTCTAATGGGAAGGGGAACAAGGGAGGAAGGAGGGAGAAAGGGAGGGAGGGACAAGAAAAAAAGTGAAAATATAAGGAAAAAATGGAAACAAAGCTTTTGTACCTAGGGAGGGGAGGGGGGAATGGGGAAAAAGAAAGGATGTATCATGTATAGGTGCAAATTCATATGATGAGTGTTATCATTATGTATGCCTAAAATGTACCAGTCAGTGTTTCGCTATTAAATAAATACAATTTGCAGTAATTCTATTTTAAAATGTAGCAATGTTTCCAAGCACTTTAAAAATAAAACTGTTATTAACTGTATTTATACTAAGCGACAGTGAACATGAAACTGGTATAGGGTTTCTTAATTGTAAATTATTTCAAAGATTAGAGTCTGCAACTGAATTTGTGATATAGCCAATGTAATCAAGTTTAGCGGGGCACATTTTATTTAATCATCTCCATCTAATCCCCTAAACTGACTATTTACGCACACAACATCAGTACCAATACCTACCTATACATTTACTCCAAAAATGTAAAACTCATGTCAGAAAAGTATTAGTTTCATCAATTTTACTACCAGCAAACCTTTTGCCAAATATTCCGGTAAATAGAAGGAGTAGGTACAATTTCCTACTCCTCAATGGAAGATTCCTTTTCTTTTTTTTTTGAGACAAGGTCTCTCACGTAGTTCAGACCAGCCTTGAATTCACTGTGTATACAGCCCAGGCTGGCTTTGAACTCACAGAGATCCTGCCTCAGCCTCCCAAGTGCTGAGATTACAGCAGTGTGCCACCATACTTGGCATGAAAAGTTTTCCTAATTAAATTTATATGCCAAATACTTTTCATTCAAAAGATATCTGACAGTAAGACAAATATTTCTTGTATTCAAATATTCAAATATTTATGTAAATTGGCATTCATTTTATAATGTGCACCCCTCTCCCCAGAGTGGAGACTGAATCTAGGGCCTTTACTCTGAGCTACAGCCCAAGTCCTTTATTTTTGAGACAAGGTCTAAGTCGGTAATTTGCCCAGCCTGGTCTTGAATTTGTGATCCTCCTGCCTCAACAGCCAAGAATGCTGGAATTACAGGTGTGCACCACTACACCCAGCTATATAAATATTCTGTTAAAAGTTTTAAAATTTCCGGGGGGCTGGGGATTTAGCTCAGTAGTTCCGGCACCCGCTTTGCAAGTGCAAGGTCCTGAGTTTGATCCCCGGTACCAAAAAAAAAAAAAGGTTTGAAATTGCCTAGGGAAAAGAAAATGGAGACAGAGAAAGTCAGAGAAAAAAGGATTAATGATGTAAAATAGTACTTTTACCTATATAACAGTGGTTATTTTTCATAATAATGAAAACCAACATTCTTTCAAGTCCAAAAACGTAATCCACCGTTAGTTATCATTGATGATATCTACATTTTAACATATTTAGTAGGTCTTGTTTGCCCCAACATCATGCTCTGCAAAAAATCTTTGGTCAGATCAAGTCTTCTGAACACCAACATGGAGAAAATTCAGAGATAAAAGTGTTGAATTAAACATCACTTCAAGGGTGTTGTCAGCAAAATCCAGGATGTGAGATACTGTACAACATAAAGCTTCATCTTGAAAAATGATTAGGAAAAAATTTAAAAGGGAGAGGAAAATTATAGACTAAAACTGGACACATTAAGAAACAAATGAAAAAATATTTACGAGACACAAAGTTAGACTCTGGTAAAAGAACTAACAATTTTTAAGATATCACAGAAGTATTTAAAAGAAGAGATCTTACCTTTTAGAGATACATACTGAAAATACTTATGAATTACACTTTTGATGTGAAGTATTTCATATAAAATAGTTTGGGAAACAAAATGAGTATTATGATAAGCCCTGTGCTTAAAACTGTTATAGTTAAGATGATGAGCATATGCTAGTCTCCTGCATTATGTCCAAAATCTTCCAAAACAAAGACTTGTTCAATCAGTATATGGTTAAAATCAGTCCAGAGATGATATTTGTATCAATTTCTAAATTAGTAACATTTTTAAAAATATTAATTAAAACAAAAATACAAATCCATTTCATAAAACATGAATATTGCTTTCAGAAACTAATTTTAATTTACTACCTGTAGGAGTAAGAAAAACAGTAGTTTAAAAATGACAAATTCAGAAAGGTTAGAAAACATACTATCATAAAAACCAAAGTTTAAAAACTTGCAAATACAAATCACCCACCTGACAACACAAAATCACTTTAGCTAACTATTAGTTTACTTACATTTTCCATATAGTTTGGTTTAAAGCCTTCTTGCTGTCGTCTCAATTCCTCCTGTTCTCTGTGTCTGATCATTTCTTCCTCACGACGACGATGTTCTTCTTCATGTCTGAAAATGTTTTTTAAAAAAAAGTCAGTATAACATGTGAGCTGTAATCAGGTACTGTATTTTATGTAAAACAAAATAGCCTATATGAATCACAACACAATAAATCTGTGAATGACTGTGGCATCCTAGATTTACCTTCCTTCTTCTATTTTGTTCTAAGCCTCTAATAAAGAAAGAAAAAACTAGGATAAACCAAAAAACAAAGTAACACAACACCTAAGCAGGAGAGTTATATGCTTACATTTAAAAAATTAAGATTCTAAAAAGCTCTCACACATTAAAAACAGCTGGGGACTGAGTATGTAGCTCAGTGGCACAGCCCCTACCTGGCAAGCACAAGATCCTGGGTGTGATCCCAGGTACCGGGGGGAAAAAAAAGAAACAGCAGTGGGGATTTATCAGAGGCACAGCAGTTTTTAAAGATACTCAAAACCTATCCAGAAATAAGCCACCTTAAAGAAGCACATGGCAGCCGGGGATGGTGGTACACACCTGTAATCCCAGCACTGGGGAGGCTGAGGCAAGAGGATCACCGAGTTCAAGACCAGCCTGAACTACATAGCAAGACCCTGTCTCAAAATAAAACAAAACAGAACCACGTGGCCTAGACAGAAATTCTACTGTGTGCAGAAAGAAGCTTTCTGGGCCCTCTTTCCCCCTATTTTCATCAACCTACTAAGGACATCTCCTAGCATTGTCACCCCATAACTTGTTCTGGTAAATTACATTTTATAGAACAATAATTTACTGTCAAAAGCTACTCTAGGGATAGAGTAGTTAAGATAAAGACCACATGACCTACACAGCCTAAAATATTTGCTTTTATCCTTTTCCAGAAAAAGTTTGCCAGGTTATATCTTTACTTTTTAAAAAATTTTTTGGTGCTGAGGACCAAATCCAGGGCCTCATGTTTGCTAGACAAGCGTTCTACCACAGAGCTGAATACCCAGCCTCTGCCAGCTTATATCTTAAAGGAAGTAAATGTTTAAGCAAAAATCATTTTATGTGTGTGCAGGATTACTATTATATTGGGTAAAGTAAAAGTATGATGAAGAGAGAAGACCTACATAACAATATTGAATCAACACACAAATTATTGGCATTAAATCAATGGAAATTCAACTTTATCTGCCTTATATATATACATACACCATAATAGTAATTTAAACAGGAAAGACTATATAAAGCAGATATCCCTTCTGCACGTCTCATGTTCAGGATACACTTACAAACACCTTTCTACATTCAGAACTGAGAATATAATTCTCAAATTTCAAGACAATGTGTTTCTTTGTTGCACTTCTGTTCATCACAAGTCCACTAAATAAAAAGGTGATTTCTTATACTGACAGAAGAAAAGATACAATATTTCTGGATTTCAAGCAAGCTGGACTATTTTAGACTGTTATATAACTCTTTAAAGTATAACTAATATTAATTTTTAAAAATATTCCTGTAAATGAGTTATTCTATTTCTTATGCGTTAATACACACATAAATTTTACTGTTAACAAAACATAGTCAGCCAAATGTGGTAGCACACGACTATAATTCCAGCGCTGAGGCAGGAGGATTGCTGAAAGTTCAAGGCCAGATTGGGATACACAGTAAGTTCAAGGCCAGCCTGAACTACATAGTGATACTCTGTCTCAAAATAATAAAATAAAATACTCCAAGGTCAAATGTGTTTCAAAATTCAGACTTTTTTTAATTGGAAAAAAAAATCAATATATTAGCACTTATGTTCCCAGTGCTACATACATTAGCATTCCATGATTAACCACATCGATATTTCTTTTCTTTTTTTTGGTACCAGGGATGGAACTTGGGACCTTGCACTTGCAAGGCAGGTGGCAGAATCACTGAGCTAAATCCCAGCCCTCACATCAGTATTTCTAAAGTAAGATAAATAATCCATATAATCTGAAAAAAAGAAAAGACTTTACATGATCACAACATGAAGCTTCACCATTAAATACACTTTTATCTGATCCTGATACATTAAAAAAAACTTTTGTATGCAAATCTTTTGTCTTCAAATTTGCACACAAAAATATAAACTTGTTGGGGTCCAATGTCTTACATAATTTTAAATGTGCAAACTCACTTTCAGTAAAATAAACAAATGTCTATACAAGGATGAAAGGATATATACACATAGGTGCAAGGATGTATGTATACAGATATATATTGTGGCATTATACACACAGAAGGCTGATAACACATCAGTATAAATGGAAAACAATGTTCACTGGTGTCAAGGAACACAACTGTTATTAAGAGGTAGATTTGCATCCACTGGCATGAAAGAATATCTACAGTACAGTTGCCAGAAAAAAGGCAAACAAAAGAACAGGGTCCCTATTACTGCTTTTAAAAATAATCTGTGTACAAGTTCGATCCCCGGTACCAAAAGAAAAAATCATGTGTTGGGCACACTGGCACACTGCAAGTCCCAGTTACTCCTGAGGCAGGAGAGTCACTTACTCCCACAAAGTCTGCAACCAGCCTGGGTAACATAAAAAGACCTCCCAAAGAAAAAAAATAAAACATACATACACACAAACATATTTAAATAACCAAAAAAAAATTTTTTAAGAGGACACAATAGGATATGAAAGTTTACATCCCACTGAGAACAATTTCAAAAACAAGAGCATTGCCCTTATCTTTTTTCATAACTCTTGCAGACATTCCTAAGATTATAGGACACTGACAATTCCACAATTTAAATTTACAAATAGGATACAGAAACATTCCTTGGTGTCCATATTTATATTTCCTACTCTCCAAGATGCTTTAAATTCCTCTTTAGGGCAAGCAGTACTTCCTAGGTTATATTCACAAATGTAACTTAAAAAAAAAAAAGAGCTATGACAAATATTAACATTCTTCAACTCAGTTTTATAAAATTTCAATTTTATAATGTTTTAGTTTTTGGGTTTTTTTTTTTTGGTACCAGGGATCAAACTCAGGTCCTTGTACTTGAACAGCAAGTGGCAAAAGCACTGAGCTAAATCCCTGTCCCAAAGCTCTCACACCTCACAAATTATTTTTTGGTACTGGGGATTGAACTCAGATCCTTGCGCCTGTGCAGCAGGTGGTGAAACCACTGAGCTAAATCCCCGGCTTTAGTATTATTTTTTAAGAGCAGAGAAGATCAAACACTAAGTTATAAACCAGGCAAGGTGGTGCATGCCTGTAATTCCAGTACTCAGGAGGTTGAGGCAGGAGGATTGCCCCAAGTTCAAGGTCAGCCTGAATCACACAGGAAGACAAAAGAAAAAAAAAGACTAAGTTATGATAAAAGACTAAGTTATGATGCCTACCGGATACAGCTACATTGCCACACATGTTCAGTACTATACTTCCAGATCTATTAAAGGACTCAAAACATAAGGGATTTCAATGACATCTGAAGGACTTAAGAAAGGTGATACGTGGATAGATAAGTAAGTGATGGGAAGAGGAGTGAAGAAAATGCTAAGGGTAGAACTAGGTCATCTACCTTGGTCTTCTTTCTATACTCTCATAGCCTCTGAAGAATTTAGTGACTCATAAACTAAATATTTATGGCACTGAGCCGGGGATTTAGCTCAGTGGTTCCACCACGTGGCCCCACAACCACAAAGACCTGGGTTTGATCCCCGGTACCATTAAAAAAAAAAAAGAACCAGTACAAATATTTATGGCACTGAAAGTAAAACCAAAAAGGTATGTACTCCAAACAAATTCTTCAATTTCTCTCAAAATATACTTTCCTAAATCAGCTTGTTCTGTTTTCCACTAAGGTAAAACAAAAATGAAAAGTCCACATTATTTGGTCTAACAATCAAAGCTGCCTAGCTGGGTGTGGTGATGCACCCTGTGATCCCAGCACCCAGGAGGCCCACCCAGAGTTTGAGGCCAGCCTGGGCTACACAGAGAGTTCAGAGCCAGACTGAACTACAAAGTGAGACTCTGTCTCACAAAACACAAAATAGCAGCTGGGGATTTAGCTCAGTGGTTCTGGTCCCGAATTCAATCCCCAGTGCTAAAAAATTTAAAAAAACACAAAACAAAACGAAACACAACACAACAATCAAAGTTGCCTAAGCCAGATAAATCTTGTTAAATGCCATAATTTTTTTTATTTGATTCTCTTGAAGATATAGATTGGAAATCGGGCATGGCCTAAGAGGATATGCCTGTAACCCCAGCACTCTGGGAGGGTGAGACAGGGGGACTGAAAATTCAAGCCAAGCCTGAGCTAGTTATTGATTGACTGATTGGTACAGGGATTGAACTCAGGGACCTTGCACTTGTGAGGCAGGAGGCAGAACCAGAGCTAAATCCCCAGCCCCAGGCCTGAGCAATTTATTGCGACTCTTAATCAAAATGAAAAATACAAAAGCGCTGCCAATGTAGCTCATTGTAAAGGCCCTGGGTTCAATCTCAATTATATAAAAAATAAAAAGGTTTGATCATTATCAGTATAAAACAAGTTGTTAAGACCCATTTTCTTCCTTTTTACATGCTGTAAAACTAAATTATAAGACAATGTGTCACATTTCTTAAGTCTTAAATTTCATTTCATAAGTAATTCACTAGTAAGTGAATTTACCACTGTCTGCATTTGCTATATTAAGCCAAAAATAAAGGTTATCCCTCAAATTATCACCTCCTATCTTTCTGTTTTGTTTAGAAAAAGTCTCACTGTGTAGTTCAGGCTGGCCTTGAAGTCACTGCCTCAGCCTCATGAGTGCAGGGATTGTCCAGGTATACATTTTTTTTTTTGTACCAGGGATTGAACTTGGGTCCTTGCGCTTGTGAGGCAGGCGGTGGAACCACTGAGCTAAATCCCCAGCCCCTACAATTTTAAATGGAATCTGATGCCTTTGTTTATTAAGATTACGTGGGCCGGGGATTTAGCTCAGTGGTTTCGCTGCCTGCTGTGCAAGCACAAGGACCTGAGTTCAATCCCTGGTACCAAAAAAAAAAAAGTACAAAGACTATTTATC